ATATACTATATATATTGAAGTAGCATTTCCGGATAAAGTAGGATGCAGATACACGGTGCAACATTTGCACATAAATTCTAACATTGCCACCCCCAGATAACAGAATGGTTCACCCCTCAACAGTCACTATTTTCTAAATGCATTTTCTGCTCAATGTTAGCTTAAATTGACAGCAATTTCCATTTAATTAGCCAAATGTGACAACAGCAAGAAAACAGACTATGTAATGTCAAGCAGTGTTCCTTGTCCATGAACAATTGTAAAAAAAAAATGAACTGAGGGAGGTGAAAGCGTAATCAAAATAGTGCAGAAACAACGGCTAAAGTCAAAATATGTAAAGATTGGTAAACATTGCATTGTTTCGCATCGCATTTTTCACAGTATAGTATTGAATACTTATACAATTTGTTTTGTGAACCTTGTAAAAGTTTAATTCCCACTTATAAATATTGTATTACCAGGAATCATTGGTATATGCTGCATTTAAAATTATATGCAATTACATGCATGAAGGTACAGGGATATAGGCACACTATATCTATGTTGAATGAAGTGACTGATAATCATACTTGCTGGCAATATTTAAACATAAATGACACTGTCTCTTTGATAATGGTATATGTTGCCATGACTTCATCCACGTAATCACAATAACATTACTGTTGAAGCATATTTATAGTTTAAAATTATTTAAAAATCATTCTTAATTATACCGGTAAAATTGTCTAGATCCTGATTAGAGAAATTAATTTGAATCACATCATATATGTTAAATAAGATTTGCCACAGAGGGCGATATACTTGGGTCAAGAAACGTACTGTTCAAATACTAAATATTTGAGCATCAAATTATCTACAAACATCAAACAGTCTCCAAAAAGATCAGTCTAATTTGCATAGTTGAAAACTCTCCCAAGCATTAATTTGACTACTAATATTTTTTGCCCCCAATCAAATTAAAAAATATTACATGACTTACAAAACATCAAAATTTACAAAAGAAAAAAAAAGTTTATTTTAGATTTGACAGAAATTAGTGTTGGTCAAGCACAAACAATTTGAAAACAGATTCACACCTCACCTCAGTTGAAATTTCAATAATAAGATAATCTAATAAAATAAGCAGCCATGCAAGCATCCTACTAGTTCCACTCCCTGTAAGTTTAGAATCAGGAGTTTGCAATGCAATACCAGTGTATATTTTAGTAATTTTCACAAGAAAAAAAAAGGAGATGAAAATAAAAAAAATCCTGTCAACACCTCACCAGCTGTATAGAGTAGAATCTACAGTACTGTTACTATTCTAGTTACAAAGGATGAAGAAAACCTGTCATCTCCATGGTTACAAAGAATGAATAACTGAGCATCTCACTAATGAGGAAATAATACTGATATGAATAAAATACTGTAAGCCGTTTAACAGTACTACTGAGAGATAAGAGAGAATATTAATAATATTATTTTTGATAAACTTAACATGTTTTTACTGTTTTAGCTACAGAGTTGAATGACTGAAAAGTGTGGTATATGGAATTCTGTGACTGCATGGCTCAATTATTTATCATAAATGGACAAACATTTTTAACTCATGGTCAGTTGAGGTTTATGACACTTGTAGCAATTATTAAATGTACAGTATAGCAAAGGTTGCCATCAATACATAACATGTTCGTCGGAATCAAAGATGTATTCAATAACAGGATGTTGTAAATAACATTTTAACAGATGGAAGATTTAATTCACAAATATGAATTTTAAAATGGTCATGTAATTCTTATCAACCACATTTGGGGGAAAAAAATGCTGTCGTAAACTTAAACTAAAAGATTTTTTGTGTAGGGAAATCACAATCTGAATACACTAACCAATATGAACTACTTCAATTTTTTTTAAAAAATACTTTAGGTAATAGTAGAATAGTAGCTATTGAATAAACAATCTGATACAATAAAGTAAAGGTATATAAACTACCTCATTGCAGCTTTCAATCGCTAATTAGTTTCTTGTCAAAATAGTCGTTGATACACATGTCTTAGTTATTTTAATAATAAAGAGTTTTGTCAAAGCTACAGAGAAAATAGCAGGTGGTATGAGAGTCGAGAATTGACAATTGTCTTATCTCAATAAATACATCTTAATATTTTTCAAATTCAGTATCAAAATCAAAAATGTTGTATATAATATCTGTATGTAGAGATTATTGACTGTTCTGTGTATGTGTCTACTATAACTATCAATGTCACACAATAACTCTACTGTTTGGAAATGAAAGGGGAATCAGCTATTTTTGGTATATTTTAATCCATGTAATACTGAACCAAAACTATCTGAGTTGTGCCCAATAAGTAAACGTATAGCAATACACGACATATATTGTGAACAGAATGCAATAATTGGGTTGGTTGATTCATTCATTTTTCGGCTGTCTAGGTGCAGTTTACATATCTGTATCATCAATATCTTTTTCACCATGTGTATTTATTCAGTATGACAATGTTAACTTTATTTCATTACATGGATTTAAAAATTGACCCCTTTAAATACAACCTTATATAATAAGAATATAAACTGATAAAACATATTTATTGCAGTTAATAACTCAATACTGGAACACACAATATGTCCTATAAAAATAATCCCTTTGATGAACTACTAGTATTGTGTAACATTGTTTCTAGTCCTGCTTCTGTGTTCTTATGTTTATAAGAAACAGTATAAATTAAACTTTTCAAACTGAATGAGCATGAAATTTGTTTTTAATGAATCGATGATATTTATATTCAATTTCATAACATCTTGCTTCATCAATAGCAAAATGATATTATACTATAGTTTGGACTATATCGTAATAAATATTCAACTGAATGGAGTTTCCATAAGCCATGATGGAAATCTAAAAGTAACTGAGTTATAAAGTGTTTGAGGTTTTTGAATAAAAATAGAAAGAATAGTACCGTATTTGTCTTCAGTTAAGCGCCACCTTCAATTAGGCGCCAGTGCCACAAAAACTTTGTATTTTACACCTCAATTAAGCGCCAGACAAAGTTGAAATTTTGGCACGTAATGATCGTGAATTGGGCGCCGGCGGAACGACTACCGGTTACCGGTTCGTAGCGATGGACGCGATCGCGGAAGTCCCTCGCTGTTACTGTACGAATGGCTTTTATGTAAAAAAAAATTGGTTTTGTTTCTAACAATTTTTAAGAAATCGGTCTATAATCTCTTGAAACATGTCTTTTTAGTCTACTGTAGACAAGTCATTGTCAATGACACGTCCCCGTTCCGTTCATATTTGAGTGACATATACATTCAAAGCAGATCATGACCGAAATGCACCTGCATATGTACAACACATTGTGCTAAATCTGAACGAAATCCATCCATGCATGACTGAGATCCGGTTCTGGAATTGTGAAAATACGTGATTTTGATGCATTTTCGGCCTTAAAATGGCCATCATTCCGCTATTGTTAAGCAGATCATGAAACAAATGCACATATCTATTTGTGACATGATGTACCATGTGTGTGTGAAGTTTGAACTTGATCAATCCAGACATGTCTTGGATATGGATCCAGAACTGAATTCTTTAACAAAATGGCCGCCAGTCGGCCATTTCGAACTTGATCGAAAAAAAAAGACGTG